CCCCATTGCCAGGACAACCCAAGGCCCATTCTTCCCAAAGAAAACTGTTGGGGGAAAGAAAACGGGATTTAACTATTTCTCTTTTTGTTTTTCCTTATTTTTTTTTTCTTTTTGCTTTTTCCCCCCCTCTACCAAAAGTCGGTACTGATTGGCTGTTTTTCATCTTTGATGTTGCAGGCTAGCCTCTGCCGAGGAGGGTACAGCCGCTTCACCCCCTACTAGCAAGAGACCCACCCCTAGCAGCATTCACACTACTGCCTATTCCAAACCAAACCCTACAGCCCAAACACCAGGCACAGCCACCAGGAGGACAGTGCACCCCTCCCGGTCAGCGACACGCACCGCTGACCCTCTGCGACTCTAAAATCCATAGATTTTTTTTTTTTTACCTCCAGCCAGCTGGTCTCCCCACCCCAGCCATGATGGTGTGTGTGTCTTTGACCCTGGTTTTTCCTGTATGTCTGAACTTTGGTTTCCTATCTTGACTTTGTTGGTGTTGTGCCCAAGCCATTTCAGGTACGGTATGCACACGGTGGGGGCCAGGCCGGGAGGACAGGTGGCCCTCCCCAGGGACTCGCAGGACCTGCAGGACCACAGCCACACATCTTGTGGCAGCACAGGCCCACAGAGCTCTGGAAGCACCTGGTGGAGCTTCCCCCAAGGCATCCCCAGTCAGTCCCCTGCAGGTCCCACCTGCCCCAGGGTTCAGTGATTGAAGCAGGGAGCAAGGGGCTCCACGACGGACTGGCTGAGCTCTTGTCCAACCTTCACCAAGAATCAGGGGAGTGGGGTCCCCCATCCTCCCAGACCCCAGTCAGCTGACGCTAATACTGCTAGTTAAATTTTACTGATGACATTTCCCGCTCCAGTAGGCACAAGCACCCTGCTCAGTGTGCCAACTGCCACAGCAGGCCGGGGACTCCTTAGTGGTATTCTGAGAAATGCAAATGTGGAAAGAAGTGCCCTGCCCCCAGGCGGCTTTTCATCAGGGTCCATTCCAGAAGGGAAGTGAGTGGGCCTCCAGGGGCCACTGCAGCCTCACTTAGGGGTGTGATATGCAGGCTCTCTGGCCTGTGGGGATCCTGCCCAGCCCCACTGCTTAGAGACCCAGCGGGGTGGGGGGGTTATGAGAGCTGGGACCCTGAGGTCAGGGGAGATAGCCCTCTGAATGTGCTAGGTGTGCCAGGCACTGGCCCCAAGGCACACAAGTCTGCACCTTCTGGAGAAAAGCAGCCCTGCTTTACAGGTGCCAGGGCTGCTAGGCCACCAGGAGTATGGGTCCCAGGGGGCCTCTCTGTGGATGGCACCCTGCTCCCTTTCCTCCCTCTCGGCCTTCTCACCCAGGTCTGTCCTCACAGCCTGAGCTGGCTCCCAAGCCCTGTCCTGGTCTTCCCACTACACACACCTGTAACTCCCACTCAGCCTGGAAGATGGCTCTGCAGCTTGCAGTAGAGGGTGGGGCCCCGGAAGCCTGGAGCGGGTTTAGGGGTGCTGGAACTCCAGGTCAGGCTGGGGCCAGGGGGGTCACATAGTCCCCTGTGCCTGCAGCTGTACCTGAGAAACTGCAAATCCTGCCTTTCTGTTTCTATTGTAGTGAAACCTTCCACCGTTTCCTTCTCGGACCATGAAGGGCAAAAACAAAACAAAACAAAAAAAAACAAAAAAAAAATCACAAAACAAAAAACAAAACAAACAAAAAAAAAAGATGTTAAGATCCAAGCAACAACAACAAAACAAAAACAACCAAACCAAGAGGCATCCTACCAAGTCCAAGTCCGCGTCTGGCGCACACCCGCACCGAGGGAGCCGTCCCGCAGCGGGCGCATGGAGAGCGGCCCTGCCGGGCCAGCAGCGCTGTGGGGATGCGCCCCTCCCCGACTGGCACAATGGGAGAGATGGAGGGGAAGGGGCCTCTGTGTGGCCAGCGGGGGATCCGTTTTCTGTCCAGTCTTCCTTTCCCGCCCCCGCTCCCAAAGCAGTGAGACTCAGGGTCAGCAGGCCCAGCTGAGCAGGGAGAAAGCCAGCAGGAACTGTTCTGTTGCCTGCTGTACCCTGGACCCCACGGGGTGGGGCGGGGCCAGAGGGCTTATCATCCTGGGGACCCCAATGTGGTCCTATCACGTGTGCCGCCCGGGCCCTCGGCCATCCAACCAGCAGCCCTGGGGTCCTACTCCAATGCAAAGGGCTGACATAGCTTCAGAACTCCAGGGCGCCCAGCGCCCTGCTCCCTCTACAAGACAGGGCTCCCAGCTGCAAAGAGTGGAGGAAGCCCAGCCAAGCAGGACCCACTCCTCCTGTGTGAGCATGACAGGTAGTTCCTCACAGAGGACTTGTACTTAGTGGCCATCTCTCTCCCTTCCTGAAGGAGGCCCTGTGAGCCTGTGGGACTTGAAGGCCAACCTCAGGCAGCCTGCTGGAACCCAGCCACTGCTCCCCTGCAGGGCTCAGTCCTTCTGGGAAGCATGGATGGACCAGCCCTGGGCTGCTCCTGGAGAGTGGGAGTCGCGGTGCTATGGGTCTGGATGAGCACAGGAAGAGTGAGGGACCGGGTGGGGAGGCCTAGGCTGGCCCTACCAATGCCACCAGCTGAGCTACAGCCACTCCCTGCTCCCTGGGCAGGTGTGGAAGTGGCGGGAGTCACAAGGGAAGCAACGGCCCACCCAATGGAGGAAGCAGGTGGCAGGGAGGAGCCCCCTGGCGAGGCAGGGATGGCTGGAGTAAGGGAAGCAGCAAAAAAATTACAGAAATACGGGCTCCCGACATGGCGCCAGTGTCATGAAACTTCAAAATAAAAAATACACCTCACTTTATATTCAGCATCAGCTACCGAAGCTATTGAAATGGAACCCTCCTTTTCTATTCCTGTTGTACATAGCCCTGCGCCTGCCTCTGGCTCTGTCCTCTGTACAGAGCCCCTCGCCTTCTGCTGTTTCGGACCCTTTTCCTGCAGCAGCTCGGACCCCTCGCCCCGGCCCCTGCCCCAGGACTGCAGCCGAGCCCCAGGCTTCCTTTCTTACCATTCTGTATGCTTCCAAGGTGTGACCATTCAAATCAACAGTATTAAGATTAATAAAGATTTCTTTCTTCAAACCAGGACAGCTCTTTTTTAATTTGGCAGCTCCAGGCAGAGGGTGGGGGTGGGGGGCTAGGCCTGGGACAGGCAGCTTATCTCCACTAGGTGGCCGGCGGATGACCCTCTGGTCAGGAGTTTAAAGTCCCAATCTCCTTCTCCAGCCTGGCCCTCTGCACCCCCACCCCAAGACAGGTTGGATAGGCAGGACCCATCCCCGGCCTGCACTCAGATTCTGGGGCAGTGTCTCTTCTGGGCCAGTCACAGTATTGGACACAGCATGACCTCGCTGGGGCAGAGCACATCCCAGGGGGCAGTAGGGGCAGGCTGGGCAACCCCACAGCTGTGGCAATCAACGGAATGCAAGAGGGGCACAGAACTGGGGTAGGCAGCAGGGGCTGCTGCAGAGGCGTTTGTGGCTGGCACTGGGGCAGGACTGGGCTTCCCAGCATGGACATGGGGCCTGGAGGAACTTCATTACTTCCTGGTAAATGTATGTCCCCAGGTCCGGATTCCGAGCTCCCTCCCAGGAGGGTGGCTGGAGGTGGGTAAGTACAGAGCCCAGAGGAAAGCAGAAGTGGCAGAATGCAAAGCAAGTGCTAAAGAGCTGTGAGCTGAGGCTGGGGCAGCAAGCCACATCCCACCAAGACTTTCGCTCTCATTTTTCAACACATTGGGTAATTTATTTCAGGGTGATCACGCCCACTGGAGGAACACAGGCTTAAATGCCAGCTGATTAATTTTTCTGCATAGGAGCCTGTACAGTTGGGATTGGGGACCATGCTCTTGGGGAGCAGGATTGTGCAGTTCTGCCACACCCCAGGCTCTGTTAGGCCCCCTTACTTCTAATTGCTTGCTCACCAGACTGTGAGAAAATAATCGCCACTGTAAATTTTCCCCCCTCTGCATAAAGTGTTTGGAGGAACTGGCATTTTAACGCTGCAGGGACGCAAGGCACTAGTGTGGGTCTGCCCTGCCCTGCCACCCACTCCCTCGCTCCTCTGGGGACATGGAGTGAGAGGCCAGGTCCCCATAGTTCAAACTGGCAGAGACTGGGAGCTCCAGGGCAGGTTTTGGCAGCAAAACCAAAGCTTTCAGAGAGCAGGGTGATGGTTCCCCCGCGGCAGCCCCGGTTGCTCCTCCCCACCACAGACCAGCCTACAGACCATTCTCAGGTTGCAGAGGAAGTCAGGGCCGGGACCTGTAAAGAAGTGATCAGCACAGTCAGGGCCCTGCCCCGTGCCCTAGGCCCTCATTCCAACGTGAGAGCCAAGTGCAGAGACTTCTGTTGAAAGAGTATTCCCAACCCCATGTCCCAGGGGTTGGGACATGTCCTGGCCTGCTGCATCCTGCTAAAGAGACAAACAGAGTTCCTTTCTGGGAAAGAAGGGCAAGTGGGGAGGAGCCATGCCCAGCCACTGGAGAGACCATGTGCCCTCCAGGCTGAGCACTTAGGCCTCTGAGGAAGACCTGACCCATCCACCCCTATACCTCTCAGAGAACACGGACATGGCCCAGCTGCCCTGCCCCCAGGCGGCCTTCCCCATTACTACAATATAAAGTTCACAGATCTGACCCCTAGGCATGACCTCCAGATGGGGTCACAGAGCCCTCAGCACCACATCTGGGAGCAGAGAGAGAACAGGAGGCTAGGCCTCTGTAGCCTGGGGTAAGCCACCTCCAAGAGCTTCTGAGCCTGTCCACACTCACCACAGACCCTCAGGGAAACTGGGAGAGCTGGGAGACACACAGGAGTCCCCCACACAATCCAGGAAGTCAGTGGGGCTTCAATGTGGCTGCAGAAGCCATGGGGTGGAGGGAAGGAGTCAGGGGAGGGGCAGGGAGGGCTCCCCAGCAGCACTTCACTCCACACAGGCATTGCTATGAGCCTGCAGCTAGGAGGAGACGTGGTGGAGGCGGGGGGGTGGGACTCTAGGGGACAGCAGGTATCTGGACCGTGGTGGAGACACCTTGCACATCTGGGGCAATACTGCCAGTGACCCCGTAGCTCTGGCCCCTGCTATTCTGGGCACCTCTTGTTTTCACCCCCATTCTGAGGACTACTGCATCTCAGAGGTTCTGGGAGATCCTCCTGGGCCACCTGGGAGCCTTCCTACCACAACTTAAGTCTTTCTAATTGTTCAGTCTGCAGGGATAAAAGGCAGACCATTCTTAGCACAAGCATCTTTCAGTCTTCCGTAAAATATCCTTTATGAAATTTTCTAGAGAAACCTTCCCAAATCCGTTCCTTTTCTCTTGGGAACGGCATACTGTGGAGAGGATTACAGGCAACCAGAAGGCCCATCCATTCACTTCAGAACTGCACTCAGCAAGCTGACTTCCTGTGACAAATGCCCCCAACAAAATGTCACAGCCTGGAACCCGGCCTCCTATGGACCTAGCCTTCCTCAGTGAGGTCCCCACACAGCCCTGGGCAGCCAGGGAGGAGGAAACCTCAGTCTTAAGGTGAGGAAATGCTGTGCTCTGGGGTCTGTTCACTGAGGGGCGGAGTAAATGAGGGCCGCCCTGCCCCACTCAGCCTGAGGCACCAAGAATCCTTCCTTGGGGACGGGCTCCACCAGGAACTCCACTCGGCCATCCTGGCCAGGCCTAGTGGCCTCCACCACCAAGTTCACCACTCGGTACTGGCTGACAAAAGCCAGGCCCAGGAACGTGGGCTTCTCTAGCCCAGGGGGCTCTCTGCTGGGAGAGCTGCCTGTCGTCTGCCAGCTGTGGATGCGGAAGCCCCGGACATGGCGCAGGAGGTAGGACCAGTGCAGAGTACAGCTGAGCCCAAGCTGAGCTGGGAGACCCTCAGAACCAGAGGTGGGCGGCAGCCAGCAGACCTGCGAGATGGTGACATTCTGCACATGGGGCAGGGGGGCCAAGAGGCTGTTGGCATCTACTACCTGAAGGAGAGAGGAAGCTCAGCCAGCCAGATACCTAGGGAGGATGAGAGGGGACCCAACACCACACCTCCACTCCCCAGTCCCTCCACAAGACAGGAAAGGAGCAGCCCCAGGCCAGCTCTCCACCCTAACACGATAAGGTGGACACTGAGCCTGAGCAACTCCTGGACACACACCTGGATCTCGCCAAGGCGACAGATGAAGCTCTCCTCCACCTGGCTTCCCGGTGGCCGAGAGAAGTTCACAAAGAGGTCCTGCAGGAGGCAACCATGAAGATTTGTCTCATAGCAGCTGGGAAAGGAACACAGGCTGGTCACAGGCCAGTTGTATATAGGCCCCAGGCCACAGCAGGAGTGAGAGAGGTCCAGAGTGCACTCCAAGTGGTAGGGACCCCAGGCCTAAGGCAGGTCCCTGCAATAACCTTGAATGCTCACAGGGAGTGTCCTGGGCCTGCGTCTCAGAACTGCTCAAAACCTGGAAGGTCAGACCAGGGTCTGTCCATCCCTCTAATCCTGGGAATTCTCCACAGGGGTCTCTGACTCCTTAAGTACACCCTCCCCCACCCCCGTGTGGCCATCCACTCCTGGTGATTGGCAGGAAGTAGAGGGACTCACCGCTGGATCCAGCCCCCACTGAGCTGCTGGCCACAACGGCCTGCCCATCTGGCCAGTTTGGAAGGAGGCACCCGGAGTGGTCGAGGGCTGTGTCTGGAGCCAGTTTCTGCTGGAGGAGACATGGGCTTCAGAAAGGAGAACCCAAAGGAAGATAGAAGAGGCAGCAGGACATGCACCGGGTAGGGAGCCCAGGGGTCCTAGTCAGACTCCAGGTGGTACGGATGCTCAGTCACCACCAGGAAGGGCTTCCAGGGGCACAAATGGGATGTACGTGTGGGACTAGCCACTCATTCTGGCCTCTCACCTTGCCATCTCCACATTCAGTTTACCTGCTCCTTCAATACCATAGCCAATAGGAGGCCTACATCTACCATACCCCCAAGGCTGGCTGAGAAGTAGGTCCTCCCTGCCCAGGCCTTGAGCACAACCTGCCCCGACTTCAGCAAAGGCAGGAGCTGCACTCCTTCCCACTGCCATGGCATCTAGCCTTCTCTTTGGGAGCTCTTCCGGCACAAAGAACCAGGAGGCCCCCAGCTCCTCACCATTCAACACGGAGATGCTGCCAATGTGACAACTGCTGGCATCCTCTGTTGTGAGCTCCAAAGCCACCCTGACATTTGTAGTCCCTTCAAACTTATACACCAGGGACAGGAAAATCTTGGGCGGCACTGGGACCTGCAGGGAAAACAACCTGCAGGAGAAAAATCCCGTGGGAAGCTGAGGAGGAGGTCTGCCAAGCTCTCTCCAAATAGCTTCCTCCAACTCCTCCTGCCAGGAACATGGCTGGGCAACAAAAGCCCTCACCTTGGCCCTTCACTGCAAGGGGACAGTATTGCCAATGGCCAGTGTCTTCTGTGGGCTGAAGAGCCCAGGTTCTGAAATACTCATGTTCCCACTCACATGAGCCACTGAAAACAGCTGCACATATGCAGAAAGGCAGGCTTCTTGGACTGGGGAGTGGGGATGCAGCTCACTGGAACACTTTTTTTTTTTTTTTTTGGTACTGGAACTTGAACTCAAGGCTGACACCTTGAGCCACTCCACCAGCCCTTTTTTGTGATGGGTTTTTTTCAAGACAGGGTCTTGTGGAACTATTTGCCCAGGCTAGCTTTGAACCACAATCCTCCTGATTTCTGCCTCCTGATAGGGGCCCAGCTCAGTAGGACGTTTTTGACTGTTGGACGAGAAAGCCCTAGAGACTCGTGCACCACACTGCACAGCTGACACTGCTGTGTGGACACTTAGGAAGAACTGAGGTGGTTCCGTACTGCACTTCAACCATGATTTTATAAAAAGCAATCGGAGTTCTATTCTCTGACCTCATTCTAGCCTCTGCTGCCCCTCTGCCCAGTTTAGTGATGGACACAAAGGACAGGAGAAGCTGGAGCCCCACACACCTTGCCCTATCACTCACCCACCTCACGGCCACATTGCCAACCTCGGGCGGAATCACCCCCCGAAGGAGCAGGGAGCTGCCCCCATGCCAGGAGTCAGCGAGGCAGCAGTGCGTCTTCACCCAGCCCCGGCCATCCTCAGCCAGCTTATGTTCACCAAAGAAGGGCTGCATCTCCTGAGCACTTGGATGGTACCAGGGCCCCACCACCTGCTCCTGAAGGAAGGGGCAGAACGAGAAACACTGAGGGGTAAGCCCTCCTTTACGAGGCACACAGAGAGGTATGGAGAGGCAAGGCCACTGTCATTCCTGCTCATGCCCTGTAGTTCCTTCCCTTCCAACTATCCCAGCAGAGGCCAGAGGACAGACACAGAGGGAGGGTACATTCCCCACCCCATCTACTCAGGACAGCAACCTACAAACCTTGCCATAGCAGACTCTTCGTGTACCCATACCCAGGCAGAAGGAGGTAACAAAGGGCAGGGAGCAGATGCTGTGTGTGGGTAGGTAGCGTTCAAGCAGGCTCCAGAATCTGCCAGACAGGGGAGGCACCAGCTCAGCCCGAGTGAAGGTACCTTCAGCATCCCTCAGACCTATGTTTGTACCTCAAGGTCCCCCACACCCTCCAAGACAGACCTTCCAGGACAACTGTATCTCCCCAGCCACCAACAGGCCAGAGATGCATGTCTGCAGGAAGTGATCACTCAGGCTCCCCACTCTTTGCTCCCTCCTGCCCGACTGGGCTCCGTGATACCTCCCAGGAAGCAGCCAAAGTGGCCAGTTTCTTCACATGCAAAGGCCCTCATTTTCCTATAAACACTATCACCACCACCCTAGGATAAAGAGGGTCACTGCAGAGCAAGACCTGAGCCACTACCAGCAGTAGCCCTCCCTCCCACCAGCCCATGTGAAGCCCTAGGACAGCAGATCTCACTTGTCCTGGTTCTGGAAGAAGTCACTCTTCTCCAGACATTCATACACCCAGCCGGGGGCAAAGAGAGCAGCAGAAAAGCCATGCTTCCGGATCAGCTCCAGCGACTAGGGAGACAGAAGTCAGGAAGGTGCTCCTACCCAGCACTACCTGGGCCAGAGCCCAGACAAGCCTCCTGGGTGCCAGCTCACAGAGACAGTATCTCAGGGTGGTAGGAGCTCCCTCTGACTGCTTGGGGCTCCTGAACTTCAGGCCTCCATCTACAAGCTGGTCAGAAGAGTGTGCCAGACAGGTAGCTGGAGAAAAGCTTGCCAGGGTTGCATCCTGGGGGCCAGTCCCAGAGGCAGGGCAGGAAGGTGGTCACCTACTCGGGCTGTCTTACCTCCCCTTCCTTCTCTCATCCACCTCTCAATATATCATTAGAATCACAGAGGGCAAAGACAGAGAAGTTAGTCACTTATTGACTGAGAGCACCCCACAGCCCGGGAAAGGCCAGGACTGACAGTCAGTCAGTCCTCCCATGCAGGTGCATGGCTGGCACCCTCCTTCCTCACTGCTGGGGCAACTGGCCAAAAATCTCACTGGTCATGAAGAACAGGTCCAAACTGAGGTGCTTCACCCAGTCCTTGACACCAAGCTGCTGTGAGAAACACTGCAGCCTCATCTCCTGGGCAGTGTGAGAGATCAGCTCAAGGCTCCTCAAAGCATGCAGCCCAGAATGGAAGTCAGGGCTAGCAGGAGATAGAGAAGCAAGGGGAACAGGATCCCCTAAAACATCCACATAGTCCTGGGGCAGGTCACTATGTGCCTCAGTGCCTCAGTCTCCCCCTCTGAGAATAGCTGCTAGCTTTCTTTTCCTTGAGGCACAGATGAGAATGGAAGGTCTATGAAAGGAAAGGAGACCGCGAAGGGCATGCAGGCCACTGGCCTTCTGGCATAAAGGCCACTACCCACCTTGTCTGTGTCAAATTGGCCTCCGACCACGTTCCCCCGAGCAAACACGTCCACACCCACATACACATCGGCCAGGCGCTCCCCTGCCTGCCCCAGCATCCGCTGCAGGTGCTCCTCCCGCCAGTTATAGTTGGTGAAGAAGCCATCACAGGAGTCGAAGAAGATCCTGAGAGGTAGCAGAGACCTCCTGAGGCCCAGATCCAGTGGGACAGGGTGTCCATCCCCAGTCAGCCTTCCCAGTGCTCATGGTTACTCACTGCTCATGGACTGGAGCTGCCTGAGACTGGAATGTGCTTGCAAAGACTGGACCAGCCCACAGGTTGTTACCTGCAGCCCTTGGCGCCATACCAGCTAAACAGGTGCTGATGATCAGGAGAGTAGAGAAGCCCTGGCCTTCTCCCTTTCTACTCAAAGCAGGATGCCCCATGAGACAGGACCAGTGCCCTCTTCCCTCCTGGCCACCCTGCAGGCTCACCGATTCTGTTCATTGAGTTCATCCTGCCATTTGAGCTGCCCACTCTGCACCACGCTGTCATACCACAGCACCAGGCCCCCTGGGACCTGCTGATGGAGCTGAGTGGTCAGGTATCGAAGGAAAGGAGGTGTGTTCCCCACAGCAGCCAGCTGAGAGAGAGAAAAGATCAGAAACTCAGGGAGGCAGGTATATTTGTCATGAGAAATAATCAGCACTGAACAGAACAGACACAGAAGGACATAAGAGCAAACACCCACCAAAAAAGCCAGTCCCAATAGCCCCTCAACCCCTCAGCCACCAAAACGGGCCAGTCAGCCAATGGTTTTCCTCTCTTGTTGGACAGAAAGGACATGGCCTAGAAAAGATAAAATGCACTGGACAGGGGGAGTGACCATGGAAAGGAAGCCATGTCCTATCTGAAGCAGAGATGGGGAGGAGGAAAGATGTGACTGCACTGAGGGAGCAGGAGAGGACAGTACAGTCAAGCAATGGGAAACAGCTAGGGAGATTTGTCCTATTGTGAAGACGGCAGAGCTGACCCTGCCTGGGAGTGAGAAGTGGCCCGTGCTATTGTAAGCAGGGCCTGCGGATGGGCAAGGTAGGCCAAGCACAGAGATGGGTGACACAGGCCGTGCTCACACTCAGAGAGTTCTCGATGTTGATCAGCCAGCCGTCAAAACCAAAAAACTGAGCGATCCGGACCAGCTGATCAGCCACTGCCTGGTAGGAGCGCTCGTCCCCAGCCAGGAAGGCTTCACAGAGCCTCCCACCATTGTTCCACTCTGTTATGAAAGTCCCTGCAAGACAGGAGACAAAGTCAGCACAGGAGTGACTCACCTCCGACCAAGTTTCCAGTGAGTTTCTTAGACCCCAGGATCAGTCCCACTGGCCAGTTGCCCTCCTCAGCTACCTAGTGACTTGGGACACTCGGGTGGGTTCTGCAGCGTGGCTACAGAGGCTCAGAAATGATTTGGATTTAGGCCAAAAGCTGTTCTGACCCAGGGGGTAAGTAAACCAGCCCTCTGGCCATGCATGCTAAGCAGGCTTTCTTTCACTGAGCCACATCACTGGCCCCACAGCTACTTTGATTAGTCACTGGTCACTAGTCATTACCACAGTGACCAGTGTCCCACATTACTGGAAATAGTTACTATCTGGTCCTCGCCAGCAGGTGTGCTGATAGCCTGGCTCTTACCCAGTATGCAGACCCCATGTCTGTGGGCAGCATTGGTCCAGCCCACTGGGGGGATGGTGACCGTGTGATGGCTGAAGTACACAAAGATGTCAATGTACTGCCAGTGGTAGAAGGAGTATGAATTCTGCACCTCCGAGCCCTGAATAAACCTGGTTGAAAACACAGAACAAAGCTGGGTCCCAGGAGACAGAATAAGGACACAGCGACCTGAGGAGCTGTGACAAGGGGACAAGAGGAGCCCTGAGTAAGGTTTCTCTTCAGTTCTGTTCTCTGGACATAGACTGCTGAGTAAGGGGCTGTGCAGGTGGAGTGAGAAGCAGAACAAGCTGGGTTCTCCTGTCCACAGCAGACAGAAGGGAAGTGCTTTCTCCCAGGCATTAGATGTCAGCCACAGGATCTGCACAGACTGAGCATTTTTAGCTTCCTGAGTAGAAGAAAAGGAAAGAGAAACCGCCCCATGTCTCTGGCATCCACCCTGTGCAGGGAGGTCAGTGATGCCCCAGGGCAATGTCCCTGCCTTGAAGGCTAGGCTGCACCCAAGGTCCCACCATCCATCTGCCTGAACCTTGATGACTGGCTTCGACCTCTCCATCCACTGCCACATCCAAGACTGTTTCCTGAACATTTAAAATCTCTTTAGATGAAACATGTGTAGCCAGGGATAGAAGGGGAAAAGAACCACACTGTGCACCAGAAAGAGTCAAGAAACTTGGTCTACTCCTGGCCTCCTGGAATATGAGAGAATAATTGTGTTAGGCCACGCAGCTGGGGGTGATTTGTTACCGTAGCCCCAGGAAACCAGTATGTTCTTTGTATGGTCCTATGCTACTCTGCCCTGTGCCCACAATGTCCTCCAAATGTCATCTCCACTGTGAAGTTCTCTGAATCTTCATTAAAAATTAATCCCCTCTTAAAAAAAAAAAAAAAAGAAACTTGGTCTAGGACAGCACACAGGGGAAGAGATACTCAGACAAATCCAGTGAAAAAAGCAGGCTATGGGCCCAGAAGCCGAGGGGGCTTCCTGCTTGTGCCCTCCCCTACCCATACAAGATTTCAAGGCAAAGCAGCTGAAGGAGACAGTGCATCACCCAAAGCAATCCTTGTTCCTTGCAGATAAACCTTAAGTAGGCCTGAGTTTCTCTCCTTGGGGTGGCAAAGCCTGGTCCAGAACTGGTCTCCTGATACCCATCCAGAACTCTTTCTACCTCTCCCATTCTGCCACAGGATAGCCGGCAGTGAGGTCCACGCGTCAGGGCATCCTCACCTGTCTTCCAGGTACCCGCCCGCCATGTCATGGCAGAGCAGGGTCCTTGCTCTAGGGCTGCTCAGCGGGGGCTGGCGACACTCCAAGGGCTCCAGGGCCACATTAAAGCCATCCTCCATGAGGGGCGTCCAGGCCAGGAGTTCCTCCAGTGAAGACAAGTAAAAGCTGATAGGCTTGCTGGTATCCTTGTCATAATATCTAGCTGGTCCAAGGAGGGAAGCAGTGTGGAATAAAGGACGTTACGGGATCTGTGGAACTGCTCTGACAATGAGTGAACTTGAGAGGGTGGGGAGCCATCCTGATCAGAAGCTCCAGAGCAAAGCGGGAGACATTATCTTGGAGCCTGAGTGTTCTCACCTGGCAAAGGATCGGAGTGGAAACTGACTACTTCTCGAAAGACTGCTTCCTCTTCTTGGTCCTCTTTAATTCTACGCAAAGTGAGTTTTAAAATAAAAGGGTAAATGACACTTGGAATCAAATGGCTAGGCATCACTTACACATGGCTTATATTATTATTTAACATAAACTCCAGCAGCATGTATTGAACCAGAAAAGCACTTGATCTTTCAAGTCACCTGTGTTAGTAACCAGAGCCCAAATTCTGCTTGGACATAGGTGTTAATGACCACTCCTAAAAATAAACACCTTCTCCACCAAAATAGCCAAGTCACACACCAAAGACAGATACTTCTCAGGTACACAGGTTTTGCTCTGGCCAGGGAGCAGGGACTACGTAAGCACCAGCAAAGTTTAAGGTCCTGAGAGAGCAGGGGCCAAGCTATTTCCTCCAGCCCACAATCCCCCAAGTGTATTCCACTGCACACTCACCACCGTACATTAAGTTGGAAAACACTGAATAACTCTAAATTAAAAGTGTCCTTTTTTTCTTTCTTTTTCTTTTTTTGGAAGGACTGCAGTTTGAACTCAGGGCTTCACACTCACAAACCAATCCCCCTCGCTGGCTGATTTTTTTTTTTTTTTTTATCCTCTTAACTTTCAAAACAATCCTGCCTACACCAGTCTCCCTGTTATTTCCCTCCCTCTAGAAGGGGCATTCTTTCTAGCCAAAAATATCTTTCCCACCAGGCCTTCCTTGGTTCCCACCATCATCCAGTCTGAATTGCCCATCAGTCTCACTGTTTGGGGTTTGAAAGCAAAGGGAAGAATGCTCCTAACTTGCCCCAGTAGCCTACTGACCAGGGGTTTATCAGGTAGGTAAATGCCCCCAAAGGGAACAAAACCTGACGTCCATCTTTTTCTTTCCCTGCGCCTTAATCCATTCTGTTCCTCCCAAATGGATACCACCACCCCATTTCCACCTGCTGAAGTCCTCCTCTCCCTTAAAGGCTCAGTTCAAATGTCACCCCTTCAGAAAGCCACCCTCTCCCACCTGCTGGGGCCTGTTGAGCAATTGCAACAGGAGGTAGGTAGGTATCATGGCCATGACGCCAGCGTTCTGGAACGAGACCCTCTCCCCACAGTGCCCTGGTCGCTCGGGTTTGCACCCCCACTTCTGGGGTGTGGAGGGGCCTTGTCAAGGGACAGGGACAGGGCGCTGTTGGTTTGCTGTCTGGGGCCAGGCAGCCTGGTAGGGATGGCAGGACGGGTGGAATCCCACACTGGACAAGGCGTGGAGAAGGTGGCCAATGGTGTCCTGCGCTGGGCGCCGAGGGGCAGCACAGGCACCGCGCCGAATCCGCCACCCTCAGCCCGTCCGCTGGGTCCAGCTCGGCCCAGGACCCGCAGACCCTCCGCCTGACCCCTCGGCAGCAGTTTAGAGGTCCTCACCTCCGTTCTGGCCGCCGCCGCCGCCGCCGCCCGGGAAGCCGCTCTGACCCCTGCTGCATTCCTGTCTGGGGGGTCGCCGGTCCCTGCTGCCGTCGCGCAGCCTCCCGGGTCAGCACAGCCGAGGCCTCCATGACTGTCCTCGCTCGCCCGCCCGCAGCTCGGGCCTTCGCGTCACCCGCTCCGAGAGCCAATAGCGGGCCCAGGCCCGCCTCCCCGCTGCCGCTCTCAGCCAATGGGGAGTGCGCAGCGCACCGACAAGCTACAGCTAGGAATCCGCTGTACTTGGATCTCTGGTCCTGGCAGGGCGGGCCGAATTTATGTATCCAGGAAGGGGTGGGCGTGGTCTAGAGGTGGGCGAGGTCTGATGAGGGGGCGGGGCATGGGAGGGATTGGAAAGGCTCTGCGGAAGAGGGGCGGGGACTGGAAGAGGGGCGAGGACTGGGCGAGGGGCGGGGACTGGGTGGGTTCTCAGCCCAGGGTTCCAAGGTGCTGCAGAGAGGACCCTAACTGCGTACTCTTGCCGTGTCATCAGATACTCCTTTTTCTAGCAAATTGAGGTTCATCTCAATCTCTGCCGAAGGTCACAAAGTCAGTAAATGATAGAAATAAGACCAGTATTTACCAGGCACAGTCTGTGCCTCCCAACTGGATATACCCAAGCCCTCATTTCAACCTACTGAAGTCCTCTGTACTGGAGATGCGGCTCAAGCGGCAGAGGACCTGCATTGCAAGTGTGAAGCCCTGCGTTCAAACCCTAGTCCTACCGACCCCCCCCCAAAAAAAAATCTGTCTTGAAGTCCTCCTTTCTAAAGACTCAGCTCAAATGTCACCCTGTCAGAAAGCCACCCCCTGAGACCAGAAATGGTCGGTCCTCTAGCCCCTATTAAAAGACAATTTTCCGAAAATGGTATCATTCTTGTTCCTAAGTAAATATCAACAAGAGCTAAAGATTGCATTCTATTCGTTAATCATCAAAGGGGACCTGAAAAAGACCCCCATCTATGGATGGGGAATCTTATGCAGAGCATGGATCATTGCCCACTGAAACTTATTTTTCCCCACATTCCCCCAAGCCTGGGGTCTGCAGGAACTACACCCTAAGCCTGCAGGGCATGGGGGCACATTTGCAAGAAGGCACCTACACAGCCTAAAGCAGTCATGACAGCCATTGTCCTCAACAATTAGCCTCCCCTCCCCAGCCCTCTCCCTTTGGCAGCCTGTGCTTCTGGGTTGGGCCGAAGCTGCTGCCCAAGCCAAGCTAACTGGACCTATTTATTATGTCGCAGTCTTTGAGCTTTACGAGGCCCAACGCTTCCATAAATGCTGAGGGCGGGTATGATGACTAAGGTTGTTGAACATGGGCCCTGGTTATGTTGCAGGCCAGCTGGTCAGGCAAGGAGAACAAGTTACTGAGGAGCAGATGTCCTCCATGGGGAGGCTCTTTGTGGGGCTTCTGCCCTGGGACAACTGCAGTGAGAGGGTAGCAAGGTCACGAGTCTTGGTCCACTGTGCTCAGAGCACAGGAAAGGGAAGATATTGAGGTGGGCTACATCTGGCCAGGGCTTGCCAAGCCTGACCAGAACCATCTAACACAAAGTCTTGGAAAAAGAAATAAGTCCCTTCTTAGCTTTGTCCTTCCGGTTATGCACAGCTCCAGGGGACACTGTGAAAAGGGTGCTGGAGTTAACGCTCAGTCTCTGGGAAAAGACCTGTCAGACCTCCCTTCTCTCCTCTGCTCCTTCCCAAAGAGCAGGAAGATGGAGGCTACCCTGTGCCTGTGTGCATATGTGTGCATGTGCGTACGTGAGTGTACGTACACACACACCCGGGACGGGAAAGAGTGGGACCAGGTGGTCACTGCATTGGGCCCCATGGCTCCTGGTCTCTCCAGGATCAGAACAAGCCTGGAAATGCCCATGTCTGCCTTGAACTTGTGCTGGTTCCCACCAGGGCTCCAGACTCCTCTAAGACACTTGTAGGGTTTCCAGACAAAGCACAGAGCACCCAGTTCAATTTAAAATCCAATAAATGATATGTGGAATACAGAATATGCTGGTACTAAAAAAAAAATTCCCTATTTATCTAAAATTCAAATGGAGCTAGGATGCTGTGTATTTATTTGGTAAATCCAACTGCCCTGCCCATGCAGCTGTGACACAGCCACCTCGCCCTGGGATGGACCCCTCTGACACTGCCTGGCTCAGCTGTCCTGGGCTCTTCCCACACCAAAATATGAAGCCAGGTGGGGTCAGGACAGCTGAACCCTGGGTCCTGCCCCGCTTGGCCATACTGGGCCACCAGCTCATTCTAAGTGCATTGACACCTGTCCCTTAGCTGAGCCCAGAGTGAGAGAACTGGGCCTGCACCTGCTTTTTCAGCTTTCCTTTGTCCCCTCCCTCTCAGCCTCCACAATACCCCAGGGACCAGAAACAAGAACTAGAGGAGAGGACGTCACCTGCCCCCAGTCTTGATTGCTGAAGAGTGAGGCAGGAACCACTAATGACTTCCAGCATCCCTTCCTTCCCTGTTCTTTAGACTGGCAGCCCTGTTTTTAGTCAACTGCATGGCTGGCCAAGGTAAACAAAACACTCCCAGCAGCCCTGGTAGCTTAGAGAAGCCACAA